TCTGTTTGTGGTGGCTGCAGTCATGGGGCTCTGGTTTTCCTGGCATCGAGGTGGTCACAGTTTTGGGACAATGGCTGGAGACTTCTGGGTGTAGCCGAGTGTCCCTGTGTAGTCCTTGTGTGGTGTCCTCGGTCCTTCCACGGCGTCCATTGAGCACTCAGTTCATCTTGGGGTCCTGTCAAGTCCTGGAGTGCACTAAGGCAGCCCCATGTTCCCAACCAAAACTGTCACTGGCTGGCCTCCATCCTTGCTCTTAGTCATAATAGAAATTAAATGAACATATGGCTGGGTGTGATAGTGCGTGCCTGTGATCCCAGTGACATAGGAGAAATATAACTCCCAATGTGCTAGGTGCCAGATGTGCTAGGTTTGTAGCCTCTGAATATCGAAGAATGAATTCCAAGGAAGAAGGGAGGTTAAGAGTAGGAAAAGTGGACTGGGGATTTAGCTCAGTGGTTTCTTTGCCTGCTGCACAAATGCAAGGACCCAAGTTCGATCCCCAGTACCAAAAAAAAAAATGTACCTAAAGAGTAGGAAAAGTTTATTGAGAGAGAGCAGGAAGGGTCTCGAGTGGGAGGTCACCAAGGCCCTTTGTCAGCGGTAATTTATACAGCAAAGTCACAGGTGGGTACAATGTGAGTCAAACTACCATCAACCTATAGGATTACAAGTAAGCTTAGCTAATATTGAAACCAGTCATGTAGCAAGGGTATGTGGAGAGAACAAAGGCATTTTGATGAAGGGATCATACTGGCCCCTATTTATTTATTTACTTTTTTTGAGATACAATCTGGCTTGTGTAGTCCAGCTTGACCTCAAATTTGTAATCCTCTTACCTCAGCCTCCCAAGTGCTGGGATTACAGGTGTGTACCACCATGCCTGGCTCCTCCCATATACCTTAAATTATACACACACACATATGTGCACACACATATACATATATATATATTGTGTGGAGCTGGAGATCAAACCCCAGGACCTTACACATGCTAGGCCAGCACTCGACCACTGAACTATACCCCCCAGCCCCTTAAATCATTCTATATTACTTACAATTTCTCATACAAGATAAATGCTATGTAAATATTTGTTTTTTCTGTATTGCTTAGGGAATGATGACATGGAAAAAGGTCTGTACACATTCAGGTCAGACACAGTTTTTTTCCAAATATTTTCAGTCTACAGTTGACTGAATCCACAGATGCTATACTGTATTTTGGGGCTGACTGTACTGTATTTTGAAGTCTACGTTTTCTCATCTGTTTATAGGAATCACATGGGTGTGGTTGAGGATTTGTGCAGGCACTTGTGTCCACAGGGCCTGACATGTGATCAGCCTTTGTGACCATTGGCAGCCACGGTTACGGTTGTTATCGGATGTCTCTTCCTGTGGACTGTCAGCCCCAAACTGGGCTATGTTCCAAGAATTGCCACAGTTTTATAAATAGAATCAGTTGAGCCCCAAGCCCCACTCCTCTGAAGGTCTGATATGGGTGAATGCTGGGCTGCCCTCCGGAAGGCTTCCAGGAGGTACTACAGAGAGGTGTGGAGAGCCCTGAAGGAGGAACTTGGAAGGGGAACTCCCCCTTTTGTGTGGGAGGTGGAATCCAAGGCCTTGATGTGCTAAGTGTGCACTCTACCACTGAGCTACATCCTCAAACTGCCCTATTCTTTTGTTTTATTTTGATTTTTGGGCAGTGCTGGGGATCGAACCTAGCATCTCACATATGCTAGACAAGAGTGCTATTAAGCCACTCTCTCTAGTGTTGCTTTTTTGTTGTTGTTTATTTTTTTGTTTTGAGACAGAGTCTCACTTTGCAGTTCAGGCTGGCCTTGAACTCACTGTGTAGCCCAGGCTGGCCTCAAACTCACAACTATCCTCCTGCCCCAGCCTCCCAAGTCCTGGGTGTAGATGTGCACCACTGAGCTCATCTTTCCTAGTCTCTCATGTTGGAGGCTGATCAATCTACTGATCTGCCTAGAAAGGGGAATGGTGAGGGTTAAAGAAAGATAATAGAGACTTGCATAATTTCAAAGTACATGGCTGGCTGGGAGGTCAGTACCTCAGAGTGGGCAAAGACAAAGACGGCTAGCCACTATGTATTGGGTGCACACAGTAATCAGAGGAAGTATCGGGTGACTCAGAGGGTGGCAGGAATCCTATGTTGATGAGGATCTTAGATTGATGAGGACAGTGAGATGGGCAAAGCATTCTTACAATAGTAGTGGGACGAGACAGCAGGCTAATAAGGAATCTGTCCTCCCCTAGGTGATACCTTTCTCTTTTTTTATTACTACTCGGTTCTCAAAGAGCCAAGATGTCTTCATCTGATGTACTCTTGCCCTTGAGCGTCACAGCATCACCCACAGGACCTTTGAGGGTTCAACTTGTGACCAGAGGCAAAATGGAGTTATGTTTCCACATGCCATAGCCGGCTTTCAGGCAAGAAGACACTGGGCCTTAGACAGTCCTAATCGTAATTTAATTTTGAAATGATTTTCCCCCCAGATTATGTAGAATGGCTCTCGACATTCCTCCGAAGCTTTCTTAACATCCCTAAGCAGGGTTATGGCCTCTTGCTGCTTTCCACATCTCTGCCTTGGTCACTGTGCTGTTTCCCGAATCCCAGCCCTGACCACGCTGGGCTGTCACTCTATCAGTCTCCCCATTAGACTGGGAGCTCCATGAGGACAGACTCCAAGGCTGTCTCAGTCTCCGCTGTGTCCCCAGGACTACCCAGCACAAAGTGGGCGCTGAGCAAAGATGTGAACAGCTAATGACCCCACTCTGCCCACGAGGGCACAGAGGACACTTGATTCAGTGATGTCTGCGTTTGTGCGTTAGAGGTCGCAGCTCCCCTCCAAGGCTCATGATTTGGCAAATGTACGAGAACCGGACTTCCCCTTGGTTGTCATGCGCCTGGATGCAGTGAGCTCCTTAACAGCTGTGAGCTCTCTTTGAGGAGTTGAGATGCAACTTTTTCGTGCAGGGTACAGGAGCGGAAAGGAGTTTGGATTCTCTGTATTGCAGGGACCCCTGACTCCGGGAGGGAGGAAGAGAGGGAAGGGAAGGACTCCCCGGCTCAGTCCATCCTGCTGGTCTCCCGGCAGAGGCAGGAGCGCAGAGCTCCGCCCTCGGTGCCCTGCGCTAACACACCTGGCGTCTGGGCGTGCCTCAGTTTCCCAGAGGCAGCTCCTCCCTCAGCCCCGCTCCTCCTCCTTTTCCTCTTCCTCTTGGGTCGTCTGTGGCCGCGTCTCCAGCTCCCGGAACTGAAAGTAGGCTCGGGGCGGCGGGGGGCCACGTCAGCGGCCGCCCAGGGCTGTGCGGGCACTGGGCGCCATGCGGCGGGGCGCGATGCTGGGGGGCGCTCTGGTCGCCTACGCCGCGTACCTGGGGCTGGGCGCGCTGCTCGTGGCGCAGCTGGAGCGGCCGCACGAAGCCCGGCTGCGGGCCGAGTTGGGCTTGCTGAGGGAGCAGCTGCTGCAAGGCAGCCCGTGCGTGTCGCCCCTGGCGCTGGACGCCTTCGTGGAGCGGGTGCTGGCGGCCGGGCGGCTGGGGCGCGCCGTGTTCGCCAACGCCTCGGGGGCCACCAACACCTCGGACCCCGCCTGGGACTTCGCCTCGGCGCTCTTCTTCGCCAGCACGCTGGTCACCACTGTGGGTACGTGAGCGCCACCCTGCCGCGGGCTGGCGAGGACCCGGGGCCCCACCTCGGCCCCGTCCTTTGGGACCCGGAACCCTCACGGGTACCCTTTTCCCACCGCCTGTGGTCCAAGGGTGCCCTCAGGACTTCCATTGAACACTGGCCGTAGTCATAGTCTGCCCCCTTGGGGGTCCCCCATCTGAGCCCTTCCTCCAAAGCAGAAAACACTCCAGCTCCCTCGGGACCAGGTCTGCCCTCACGCAAAGTACCTTACAGCGAGCTTCTGGGGCCCATTCCTCCATCTTAACCTCCCTGAGGATCTGGGTGTCTCTAGTCCCCTCTGGGTCTAGGACTGTGTCAGCGACCCGTCTGGGACCCTCTACCTAAGATCCTTCCCCTCTGTCCAGGGGCCTCAGCCCTGCCAGGACCCCCAGCCATCACTTCCGCATATGTCTCCTGACTCACTGGATATGACCCTCCCCGAACACCCCATCCCTCTTTCTCCTGATCCTGGTACCCCTAGCAGGGACACGGACCCCCAGGTTTTTCAGGGTGCCACCACTAAAGGCTTTTCTTCCAGGGGGAACCCTAGGCCAGGGCCCACGGCCCCCTCTGAGACTTCCACCCCCAAGTAGACCCCGTCCCTCTCCTGCTGCCGTACTCCCCAGCCAGTTACCTTGACTGTAGCAGGGGACTCCATCCCATCAATGTCTTCCCTCTGTCCCAGGGTTTTCCTCCAATGGAATACTCTGTTCCCTCTGCCTAGGACCCCAGTTCAGCAGCCCCATCAACTGTGGGTGTGTGAAGGGGACCCACCATGGTGGGAGCCACAGCACCCTACAGTGAGTATCATGAACTGCCTTCCTAGAAGCCCCCCAGCATAGACTCCCACCCCTTTTGTCCCCAAACCACCTCCAGCAAAAGCTGTAGCCCTGATTGGGGCTGTAGCTCAGTGGCACAGCGCCTGCCGGGCAAGCGAGAGGTACTCCCCAGGAAGGCCTCTTTACACCTGTGAAGTGAGACTCCTACCCCTCCCTGAACCCTGACACCACTCAGTAAGAGCCCCAGAATGACCTGGACCTCCTATGGGGACCCCAGAGCCTTCCACACTGTCAAGGAAACAGACCCCCACCCATGCCAGCCCAGGGACTGCGCTCTGTCCAACTGCTGTCGCACCCCAAGGCTCCTACCCACCGGGCTTCCCAAGCAAGGGGACCTGGGGCTCCTCCAAACTCACGGCTGGGGCCTCCCCACCTCCCTAGCACTACCCCAGCCTGTTTGAGACCAGAAATTCTTTCCATCAGCAACACTTCAGGCCCTCTGCATCCAGAGCTCTCTCGGCACCCACTCAAGACCATTTCTCACTGCACCCTTGACGCTCAGCCCCCACTACACCTTTATCTCGTCACCTCCCCAGGGCTCAGAAGCCCCCTCTGCCTGAGAACTGCCCTCCCAATATCATTTGTGATCCGGAAGACACCAGCTGGTGCCTGCCCCACCTTCCTTTGGCCCCAGGGGAATTATTATTTCTTTCTTTCTTTCTTTCTTTCTTTCTTTCTTTCTTTCTTTCTTTCTTTCTTTCTTTCTTTCTGGTTTTTTGAGACAGGCTGGCTTTGAATTCAGTGTGTAGCCCAGGCTGGCCTTGAACTCATAGCAATCCTCCTGCCTCAGCCTCCTGAGTGCTGGGATTATAGGCTTGTGTCACCACGCCTGGCCCCAGGATCCATTTCAAACCAAGATACTGGCACTTGATTTAAAATTGTGACTCCTGAGCTTGACATGGTGGCACATATCTATAATCCCAGCATTCTGGGAGGCTGAGGCAGGAGGACTGAAAGTTTGGGCACTTAGCTACTTAGTGAGACCCTGTCTCAGAAATAAAAAATAAAGGACTGGGTGGGGGGAGTGTAGTTCAGTAGTAGAGCACTTGCTTAGCACACACAAGGCCTTGGCTTCTATCCCCAGACTGCCCAAAAATAAAATAAAGTAAAAAACATCTTAAAACCCTAAGCCCCTTTCTCTGAGCTCTGATTCAAGTGGGATCCTGGAACCTACCCTACCTCCACCTCCAAGCCCTTGAGATCTATGACCTGGGAAGTCCCATACTGTTCCAACCACAGCCCTGGGAAAGCAGGGCTCTCTGCTCTGCAGCCACCCTCAGCCCCAGCTGTCCTCTGTGGAACGGGGATAGCCGGTCCCAACTCCTAACCCATCCTGCTGCCCTCAGTGCAGCAACAGGAACGGCTTTGCTCCCCACCCTGTGGAGCCATTGTGTGGACTGGCAGACTAAGGTCACAGGGGGCAGAGCCTGTGACCCTCCCAGACTGGCACGAGCTGACCACGCCTGCAGCTTGCTGTGCTTACTCCACCTGGACCTGCCTGACCTGCTCCTGGGCTTCTTTGGGTTGAGTGCGCCACCCGCTGGCTCCTCCCAGATCCTGGTTTCTGAGGAGTCATTCCTGGCGGAGGAGTAGGTGAGGGAACCAGACCCAAGCTGGACTGGTGGCCCTGCTCTGTGGTCCCTAATCTGCAGACCGCAGTGTCCTCCTCCTGTGCAACAGTCTGAGAACACTCCCCACTGCGCTGTAAGAGTGAGAGCCTGACAGAGGACTCGCCACATTTGGGTTTAACTTACTTCATCAGCACAGCATACAAATGAAACTGAGGCCCAGTGAAGTTGGACAACTTGCTGAAGGTCACACAGCTAGGAAGGTGTAGAGTGGGCTTGAATCAAGGCCACCAGGCCCGAGTCCAGTGCTCTTACTGGACCCACCACACTGGTACTGAGCAAGGGCTTTTGGCCCAGAGCTCATAGAAGTCAGTACTGTGTCACTGGGGTTTTTGCAGAAAGAAAGCTTTCTAGAAGTCTGAATGATAGGAGGCAGTGGGCATGCTCATCTGTGTGCCCGGTGGGCCACAGTGAAGGAGTCCAAGCCGCCCTGGGAAAGGGGAAGCGGGGCTGAGTGGTTGTCAGCAGGAGTCACAGTGTACTAGCTCTCACCTGGTATAGGGATAAAGGGGAACTTGTGGCTAACTCTGGTCTCTTCTGCCACTGTTGTTTTATTTTTGCTTTTTGAGACAGGGTCTCACTATGTGGCTTGGGGTGGTTTTAAACTCACTGTGTAGGCTGGCCTACAGGAGAATCAGAACGATTCTCCTGCCTCAGCCTCCTGAGTGCTGGCGTGCACCATCACGCCTGGCATTCTCCTGCCACTGTTGACCGAATGCCTTGGTTCTAACCTGGGTTCTCGAGGCTCTGACTCCTTAATCTGGTTCTGCTCACTCAGTGGAGACTCTGGTTCCATCAGGATGTCAAAGTCGTTTTAGTTTAGGCCTGAGCATTCCATGCCTCTGTCCTGAGCAGTAGCCTGCCCAGTTTTTGAGAACAAGGAAGTTGCTGTCATGGCTTGCTTTCAACATTACTGGGCCTGAAGAAGGGTGATGTGCCAGCTGTAGAACCCAGCTGTCACACAGCAAAGGCAGCAGGGCAAGGGGATGGTAGACACAAGACTACTGAACAATGATGGGGGGGACGGCTCTGGTTTTTAAACAGGAAAAAGCTTTAATTGGAAAGTAAGAAAAATGGTAAGAGACTTTAGCTTGAGGAGCTGACAAAGATCAGGCCGGCCTTTAACAAAGAAGAGTAAGAGTTTTGTTTTGTTTTGTTTTTTTGGTACTGGGGATCGAACTCGGGTCCTTGTGCTTGCGCAGCAGGTGGTGAAACCACTGAGCTAAATCCCTGGCCCTTGTTTGTTTATTTTATTTTATTTATTTTTTTTTGAGACAGGGTCTTACTGTATAATGCAGGCTAGGCTTGAACTCTATGTAGCCCAGGTTGGCTTTGAACTCGAACTCACAGGGTTCCTCCTGCCTCGGCCTCCCTAGTGTTGGGATTACAGATGTGCACCACCACACCTGGTCCAAAGGAGAGTAAGGAAAACAGGAAAGGACTGCACCGTGAGCACTCACCGTGAGGGGCTCACTCCAACGAAGGGGATCAGACTGGTGACCAGCAAGGGCAGGAGGCTGCTTTAAGGACCAGCTGGCGGGCTGGGGTCCACTGATCATTTCCTCAGGCCTGGCTCCCTGGGTCTGGGATTCTCGTGGCTGAGCGGTAGGCCTGGTCCCATGAAAGGACGTCTCTGTTTGTGGTGGCTGCAGTCATGGGGCTCTGGTTTTCCTGGCATCGAGGTGGTCACAGTTTTGGGACAATGGCTGGAGACTTCTGGCCACACTTGGATGTCCCTGTAAACCTCTTATCTTGGAGAGGATAGGGTAGTGGTGGTGAACCTATGGCACTCATGCCTCAGTGGCCTTTTTTTTTTTTTTTTAAAAAGTACTGGGAGGGCCAGGGATATAGCTCAGTGGTTCTGGCGCCTACCTCACAAGTGCAAGGTCCCAAGTTCGATCCCCGGTACCAAAAAAACAAACAAACAAAAAAACATTGAAAAGTACCGGGGATCGAACTCAGGTGTTTGCCCTTGTAGGGCAGGCAGCCAAATCACTGAGCTCAATCCCTGGGCCCCTTGGTGGCCTTTTTATAACATTGAAAGCTCTGAAAGTTTCACCATCATTTGGATACGGGAGTTCTTGCTAAACTTGGACTAACAAGATTCTTTTTTTGTTTGTGATGGTGAGGGTAGAACCCAGGGCTCCCACGTGGTCTGCAAGAGCTCTGCCACTGAGCTACACACCAGCCCCAAAAGACGCTTGCGAAACACAGGCCAGTGAGAGAGATACTAAGAGTAAGATGATGATTTTGATCAGATATCAAGGATGGGGATTCTGTAGATTCCTGTTAAAATTGGACCTAGTTAGCTAGGTGTGGTGACACATGTCTGTAATCCCAGCCCTCTGGGATGCTGAGGGAGGAGAATTGCAAGTTTGAGCCCATCTTGGAGAACTTAGGAGCTATGAGACCCTGACTCAAAATGAGAAATAAAAAATGGTCTGGAAGGCAAGTATAGCGGCACATGCTTATAATCTCTGTATTCAAGAGGCTGAGGCAAGAGGATCTCTGTGATTTTGGGGCCAGCCTGGGCTACATAGTGAGTGCAAGGCCAGCCTGAAACACATAGTGAGACAAGTAATGAGACCTTGTCTTAGGTTCAGTCCCCCATCACACACACACACACACACACACACACACACACACACACAAACACACTGGGCTACTGGGCTTAGTCAAGAACAGGGCTTGGAGGAGCCAAACTAGATTGGCCAGTGAGGCATCTTTGCCAGTGTGAAGTGCAGTGATGAAATCGATGCTTGGGGGGGCCCCATGATCACTGTCATTCTGGGGGAGCCAGGAGCTTTGACTATCAGGAGAAACGTTCACCACCGGCACCTCAGTCAGAGTCCTCTCTGCTCCATGTCCTCAATTTTGTCACAGGCCCGTCATCTAAGAGCTGGCCCTGGGAGTTGCCCTAGGCAGCCTGGTCAGAACTCAGGCAGGGGTCAGGTGACAAGGAAGCTAGCATTCTAGGCACTGGCCTAGCAACTACGAGGCCCTGGGTTCCATGTTTAGAAAAAAAAAATGTAGCCTTGCAGTCATTGTAACTCTTCATACTCTTGGTGGGTGCAAAGTCCTGTCCCAACCTGGTAGGGTTGGTGCCACATTTGAGGATGAGTTTGTTTATTTATTTTGTTACTAGGGATTGAGCCCAGGCCCATCCCTTTTTAAAAATTTTTTTATTTTTAGTCAGGGTCTCACTATGTAGTCCAGGCTGGCCTTGAACTCAAGATCCTCCTACCTCAGCTTCCCGAGTGCTGGGATTATAGGCTGCACCAGAGTGCTTGGCTTCTCCTAACCCTTTAGACATAGATTTCAGGGGTATTAAGTACATCCATGCTGTGTAACCATCATCACCATCTATCCAGAGCTCTTTTCATCTTGCAAAACAGAGCCTCTGTACCCTTTGGAGAAAATTCCTCATTCTCCTGTCCTCTTGTCCCTGGGAACCTTTCTGTCTCTGAATCTAACTACTGTACCTACGTTACTGTGGAGCCATACAGCTTTCATCTTTTCATCAGTGGTGTTTTTCACTTAGCATGTCCTCAGAGTTCATCCACATTGCAGTGTGTGTCACAGCTGCCTTCCTTTTTGAGGCTAAAAACTGTCCTGTTGGATGTATGTATGGTATTGTGCTTATCCATTGACCCATCAGTGGAAATTAGGGTTGCTTCCACGTTGTAGCTGTTGTGAATAATGCTGCTGTAAACATGGTGAACACATCTCTCTTCTAGAGTTTACTTTTGATTCTTTTAAGTATGTAAAAAAAATTAGATCAGGCCAGGTGTGGTGGCAAATGCCTACAATCCGAGAACTAGGAGCCTGAGGCAAGAGGATTGTTTTGAGTTCGAAGCCAGTTTGGGCTACATAGTGAGAGTGCTCAAAGAACCAACCAATCAATCAAAAAATAGGCAGCCGGGCATGATGGCACATGCTTGTAATCCCAGCACTAGGGAGGCAGAGGCAGGAGGATTGCTGTGAGATCCAGGCCAGCCTGGGCTACATAATGAGACCCTGTCTCAAAAAAAAAAAAAAAAGGAGGGGGGCCGGGGATTTAGCTCAGTGGTTTCGCCACCTGCTGCACAAGCACAAGGACACAAGGAACTGAGTTCGATCTCTGGTACCCCCCCACCAAAAAAGATTACCACCTAATTTTTTTAAAACCACCTAACTTTTTAAATGGGCAAGAGTTGACTTGAAAAAATAACATATATATATATATATATATATATATATAGGCATGTGCCACCCTGCCCAACTGAAAATAGTGATGTTTAAAGTCAACTAAAACACGTACAGGGTTAAGTCTTAGATTTATCCAAGTTTCCCTTGGTTACAGAAGAAACCATGGCCCTTGGCCCTGGGGCCCATGTCCGGGCAGCCACTCTCCCCTCTCCCCTCTCCCCCAGGGAACGTGGGAGTGGAGACTGGGGTTGAAATCAGGGCTGAGCAGAGGTGCTGAGTGGGCAGGAGGCTTCCCCATCACCCTGCAGGCTACGGCTACACCACGCCGCTGACCGATGCAGGCAAGGCCTTCTCCATCGCCTTCGCGCTCCTGGGTGTGCCGATCACCATGCTGCTGCTGACCGCCTCGGCCCAGCGCCTGGGGCTGCTACTGACACATGCGCCCCTGTCCTGGCTGAGTTTTCATTGGGGCTGGGACCCCCGGCGGGCGGCCCGATGGCACCTGGTGGCCCTGCTGGCGGTCATAGTCACCATCTGCTTCCTGGTGCCGGCTGTGGTCTTCGAGCACCTTGAGGAGGCCTGGAGCTTCCTGGATGCTTTCTACTTCTGCTTCATCTCTCTGTCAACCATCGGCCTGGGGGACTATGTGCCTGGGGAGGCCCCGGGCCAGCCCCACCGGGCCCTCTACAAGGTGCTGGTCACAGGTGAGCTGGTGGCTGGCTGGGGCCCTGGGCATTGCCTTGTCCCAGGGGGCATCTACTGGGTTCCCAGAGGGACCCCACCCCAGCCTGAGGGTGCTGCAGAACCGTGCCCCTGCCCCTGGGGACCGGACCCCACATGGACCCATTGGCTCTCCATGTGTCCCCGCAGTGTACCTCTTCCTGGGCCTGGTTGCCATGGTGCTGGTGCTGCAGACTTTCCGGCACGTGTCCGACCTCCACGGTTTCACAGAGCTCATCCTGCTGCCCAATCCGTGCCCTGCCAGCCTCCACCAGGAGGAGGATGACCAGGTGGACATTCTGGACCCCCAGCCTGACCTGCACCAGGAGCTCTCTGCCGGCTCCCATGCCAACTACGCCTCCATCCCCAGGTAGCTGGGCAGGCACTTCGAGGCTGCAGGAACCAGTGACGAGAGCTGACCAGACATGAATGTCCACACCTGTACGCCAGAGGCACTGTCACCAACTATCCGCCTCATCCCATGTTTTACAGTGCCAGGCTGGGCAGCAGGGGTGGCCGTCTCTGGTCCTCTGAGCACCAGATGATCCTGTCCACTTCCCTTTCTCTTACTTTCCTTCACACTCTGGCCTCTTTGGTGCCCCATTGCTCACACCATTTCTGTCTTCCCCTCTTGCTGTCTCTGTCTTTTTCTCTCTCACACATGCTGTTTCTCTCTCATTCAGCCACTCATCTACTGCTGACTCTACCAGGCTCTGAGCCTGGACCTTACTCTGGCCCTAGATTGGGCACTCTGTCTTGGAAAAGTGGCTGTCCCTCTCTGAGCCTTGAAGAGAGGTTGGAAGGAAGAAGAGATGGAAAGAATCTGTTCATTCATCCAAAGATCCCTCCTTAGTCCTGGCGCTGTGCTGGACAGTGTTGGGGACACAGTAGTGGTGGGGGTGGCCCTGGGCTCTCCTCTCATGGGGCTTACAGACTTGTCCTCAGACAGTGACAGTCCCAAGAGGGCAGGATGTCAATGGAGCCAGCAGAGGGATCAGGTACGACGTGAAAAAAAGCATAGGCAGAGTGGGAGGTGGGGGAGGATAGGGCAGGTGTCCAACGCAGCCAGGAGGGCTTCCCAAAGGAAGGGACAGTTCAACTAAGACCTAGCTGGGTGGTGTCACACTCCTGTAATCTCAGCACTCTGGAAGGCTGAGGCAGGAGAAGTGCAAGGTCAAGCCCTGCCTGGGCAACTTAGTGATTTAGTGAGACCCTGTGTCAAAATTAAAAATAAAGGGCTGGGGGTGTAGCTCTGTATGAAGCCCTGGGTTCCTCTTCTAGTACTACAAACAAACAAACTTAAGTAAGAGCTGAAATGTGAGGGGTAGGCAGGGGGAGAAGTCTCTGATTTATTTTTTCTGAGGTGTCTGCAGGGAGCAGCACCCATGTGGAGAGCCCTGGGGTGGGCCTGGGTGGCAGCATCCTCCTCGGCAGCCTGGCAGGCAGGAAGGGGACACAGGACCCCATTGTAGATCCCAGTGGCTCAGAAAGGCGGCTGGTCCTAGCATGGCTCTGATGCTACAGCTGAGGTCGTGTCCTGAGCACTATCTGCCTGTCCTACTTGGGGCTCAGCCATGTCTTGCCTGTGTCCCCAGGCAGCCACTCTGCCTCTCAGGCTTCCTTCCTTCCTTCCTTTTTCTCTCTCTCTCTTTCTTTCTTTCTTTCTTTCTTTCTTTCTTTCTTTCTTTCTTTCTTTCTTCCTTCCTTCCTTCCTTCCTTCCTTCCTTCCTTTCTTTCTTTCT